GTACAAGGTTATTTATGAAGAGTTAGAAACAGATAACATTGATAAAATAATGTTAAATTTGCTAAGGAGTTAAGGATGAGGACCTAAGGTTGATGTGTTACAGACTTGGAAGGTTTTTAATTTAATTTGGGACCTAATGGGTTAAGTAGATTGAACGATAACCCTAGTTTTATCTTTATGAATAATCCACTGTTCTGTCCCATTTTTGTAAATATCATAACTAATTCTAGAGACATCAGTTTTGGTTGAGTGCCCAAAGTTTCATTTTGGAGTCTACTATATTTCATTGGTTTTAACCAAAAATCAGAAATGCCTCTAACATGGCTAAAATCGACCATTTACCCAGACTAATCTGGAATGAGCTGTTATGTGAGGTAGTTTTGTAAAATTAACCATAAATCGTATAAAATCTTATGGAGGTGTGTGAGTACTACTATTAAAGCTAAGGACCTGATCTATAATCATTTGATACATTTTCAAAAAAATATGAAGTTTAAGGTGGGAAAAATAGGTCCTGAACAGACCCTAATTTTTATGTAGAAAGCTGAAATTTAACCCCATAGTCTATTTGCACAATTAGGGAAAATAGGTAACTAAACTTAACTTAAATCATTATTATTAGGAAGTGTGAAGGATGAGAAGGTGTTACTGATTCGCGGGTTACTTAGGAGATTGTGTTGCTTTTAGAGGTGAGTTCTACACTATACCGTGTTGTGTTATATTCTCTTTACGTTAGCTCATGTGTGCTATGTGTTGCTTATGCGGGTAGTACTAGGTGGGGTAGAGTTTAATGGTTTTCCCTCAAGTATTGAGGATTATGCATGGTGGGACTCGACACATCCGAGTGGGGATAGGGCATAGCCAATGTGTCCCAAAGGCTCAACGAACTGAGCAAGGGGGATCGGGCATGACCAATGTGTCCCAATGGCTTTGGGTTCGGGTACGGGGGATCGGGCCTAGCCAATGTGTCCCAGTAGGAGTATTTCTATTACAGATTCGTTCTTTAACATGCATGCATGGTTATGTGTTTGATACCATTGTATCCGTGTATATGGGTAAGGATTATATGATATGATACTGTATATGTGTGGAATTCACTAAGCTTTGTGCCTACCTCATTTCCTTTAAAAGTATTATTTCAAGTACACAAGATGGTTGTACATGATTGTACACATTGGCTCAAGGCGGGTTTTCGGAATTGATATTGAATTGGTTATGTTTCATAAGTTTTAGAATTATAACTATTAATGTTTGGAAACTGAATTGATCTTGGGGTTTGGTATTCATATGTTTTGAATAAAATACATTAAATGGATGATTTATGTTGTTTTAAAAAGTTCAAATTCATTGGAAAATTTAGGATGTTACATTTTGACTTTAGAAAAGAACTTCACAAAATTGATTTGACAAACAAAAACCTAAAATTTTTGAAATCAATTTTACAAAACCACTGCACCGGAGTTGCCTCGTCCCTTCACGCCGAAAATATCACATATATTGGGAAGGTTGTGTGGGAATAAGGGGGTGTTTATCACATAATAAGATGGTGGGTAAGATGTAATCATCGATGGTGGAGACCTAAAATGGTCTTCGATGGACTTACCCTAAACAACCTATGTTACTGATGACAAAACCCTTTTTAGAACCCTTTCTGATGGAATCAATGTTGGTCACGTGATTAAATCGACAACGTCATGAAATCAGATAAAATCGACCTAGTGGTTTTGTCAGACGTTGATGTTAGTCAGTCGTAGATACATTGATGGGTGGTGTCGCCTATGGTAGTGTAGATGCTTAGTGGTGGGCTTTATATTTTGTGGTTATTGAATACTCAGAGAGGGTATGGAAGAAGGTTGAAAGGGATGATTGGTGTAGGGGTGGATCTTGGGTTAGAAATAAATTTTAATGGTAAATAGTTTCTAGTGATGATTGGGTACATGGGTTGACAAGAGATAGATACTAGTGGTGGCGGTGACGGTTGGTTACAAGAGTCATAAACGGAGAAGTGAGGTGACAATGAAGAAATGGGACAGAAGGGGTATGTTTTCTCATGTGAAATGAGGTATCTGATGAATGTGTGAGGATGCCACCGGAGAGATGGAATAAAAATTAAATATCCTCCTACTTTCCTTCCTACATATAACGTGAAACGCGAAAATTACCTAAAACCACATGGACGATTCGTTAGGCTACCCGTAGTGGAAGCAAGAAGATGTATGAGAGGCTAATGCGGAGCCCCCAAGACGCGTGAACACCGCCCCTAGGGGCCAGTGCCTGCATGTGGCGTGAGTCCGAAGACAAAAGGAGATGTCCAATGGGAGAAGGGGGAAATTGGCAACGGTCATTTGACCAAATTCTTACCGTTACATATTTAAAAAAATCTTTTTCAAATTAAAAACCTATCGGCTACAACTATAAATATCCACTATTTTACTAACATTTTACACTACAAAAAACATTTTCTTCCCATATATATTTTTTATCTTCTACCTGTGGATCCAAATCAAAATACCTCACCCACCCCCAAACACTCCCAATGATCAATTTCCAAATCTTAGTTACATGCAGTTGATAACATCTCCAATCCAACAGCAACCTCTTTTCACCAATCTTCCATACCACCCAAACTAATACCAACAATAAACACCACCACAATTCAATCAACCCCAATTTCAAGCCTTTCAACCTCAAACTTCTCAACATTAACAATTTCACACACAACCTTCACAACCATCTCAAGTTCCATTATCTCAATCTCATCCTATAAACCTCGACAATGACGATGATGATGAACGGGTTGAAGAAACACAACCAAATCATAGAAGGCAAAAAAAAATCAAAAGATCCAAGAAAAAAGAAAACCATGCAATGGACCGAAGAGGGGGATGAAGCTTTAGCTAAAGCTTGAATTGTTATATCACAAAACGGGGATATCGGCAACCTGCAAACGGGTCAATGTTTTTATAATCATGTTTTAGACCACTTCCACACGTTATTAGGAAGGAAAACAAACTAGACATACGACGTAGTCAACGCAAAATGACGTGACCTTCGAGCGGCTTGCACCAAATTTAACGGCTTATTTGACAATCTTAAAAATATGCATAGAAATGGTAGCAACAATTTCAACATTTTATCAACCGCGATGTACCGATACAAAATTACCAACAATGGTGAACCATTCGGCAACCAAAAAGCAAGGGAAGTTTGTCGTAATGGTCCAAAATGGGTCCTTTATATGAATACGATGCATTCGGGATCTACTATCGGCTCCAACAAAAGGGCAAGAACTTTCGAGTTGGATATTGGTGTTAGCCTCGATCTCAATGATGAGTTCAACGCCACCGAGGGGGAGGGTCCTCCGGATGTCCAACTTCATCGGTCATCGAGAATGGACAAAGCGATAATGGAAGTGTCTTCAAGCGAAGAATCAACCAACGATGACGTACAAGCAGATAAAATAGACAAAACTCTACGCTTTTTAGAAAAAAATGAATCAATAGAGGATATTCGTCGGCGAAAAATGGCACTCACCGATCTTCAAATTTTAAACACTAAACTGCAACCAGATCTCTACCCGGAAAATTTAAGCGCGTTTTTAAAAATTCAACAACAAGTTCTCAAAAAATATCGCAAGTAGATTCTATGTTTTTTATGTTTTTTTAGTGATTTATGTTTAATTTTGTATGTTTTTTTAGTAATTTAGGTTTAATTTTCTATGTTTTTTAATGTTTTTTTAGTAATTTAGTTTTAATTTTCTATTTTTTAGTTTTAATTTTCTATGTTTTTTAACTAATGTAATGTGATTTTAATTAATGTAAAATATTTTATTATGTTTTAAATTATGTTTTTTTATTTAATTTAATTTTTTTTTTAAAATTGTGAAGTGGTAACCATTTCCAATGTCTAGTGAATAGGTGTTGGGTTGGTGGTGGAGCATATGCTATCAATTGCGCGCTATAGAGGTGCTATAGCGCCGCTATAGCGTTTCACAGTGATCCACATCAGCTATTTTCAAGTTATCGGTTTTACTTCACGGAACCACAATTTACGCCGCAATTATCCGCTGTTCACTCTTATTTGTATCACCGAGATAGCGGCGCTATGGCCAATTTTTCTTTTTTCTTTCACATTTGATTACATTTGGGCCATTTAATTAATTTGTCAATGAAAAAGCAACTTTTAGTGAGCCCAATAATTGCATTTTAAAAAGCCCAATATATAACCAAAATAAAATCATTTATAAGTCGGTGAATCACAAACTGAACGTGACTTGAATCCTTGATGAATGACAAGGGCTTCAGCTGTTGCGGTGCTGCCTATGACGAATTGACAATTAATGAAGATGAACACACATGCGGATGCTTCTTCAGACCTAGCTCCTTAATTAATCGACCACAGTCCACAAAAACTTGAATTCGGTCTTCACTCTTCAGCCTTCACTACCCTTCAATCGACCTCCACTGATCCACAATTCATACTCTACAACATCGAGGTGCATTGACTCCCTTCTACCTTAATCGGCTTCCAAGTTCCAACAGCCTAACAGGTAACAAACAAAAACCTAATGCTTTCTTTTCTAGACAACAGTAGAGACTAGAGGCTAGAGACATACACATTGTGGTTTCAAGTTTCAACATATATATTCATTATTCAATGACATTCTCTGATTTTATACATACAATTTTACATATAACATTATAGTTTACATATATTCCACTGCTTACATATATTCCACTGATCAATTTTTACATTTATGTTACATGGAGAATGAAGCTATTATTCCACTAATTAGTTTCATACAACTTTACAGTTTACATATATTCCATTGTCCATTTATGTTTTTCAGTTTGTGAACTCATGTGAATTGCGATGTAATCAGTTAAGATGTTGGAAATAGGAACATAGAACATTATGTTGTTATTTTGTTAATGAATAATGAGTAATGAGTAATGACATGTGATTGTGAAACAGGTTTAATCAATTGTGAATTTGCAAATATGGAAGGGAATTCTTCACATGCTTTTGTGAATCCGTCCACCACCACTCCTACTAATACGAGATCGAATGCCAATACAACTAGTGTAAAGCAAATAAAGATATGGATCAATGTCATTGGAGAATATGGAAGAGGTAATCAATTTTGTTACATTTCTGATTTGATTAATGTTAAGTTGTTAACATTTTTATATTTACTAATTTTGTTAATTATATAAATGATAGGTATGTCGGCTCCAAGTTATCATAATATGCGGGTGACATTGTTAAAGGATGTGTTAGAAGATACCCACAAGTTTGTGGATTCGTTTCAACCACAATGGAAGAAATTTTGATGTAGCATTATGTATGATTTTTGGACAGATGACAAGCAGAGATCTTTGATTAATTTTTTAGTCAATTGTCCTACTGGTACAGTTTTTCTAAAGTCGATTGATGCATCGGAGGATATACATAATGTTGAATATATTGTGAAGAAGGTAAATGAGGTGATAGCAGAAGTTGGAGAGGAAAATGTTGTACATGTAATATTTGTTTCTAATTAGTTATTAGTTATTACTTTTATTTTAAAAAAATTATATACATTTTATCAATTAAGTTCTTTTTATTTCTTATAGTTTATTACAGACAATGGTTCAAACTACAATGTTGCAGGAAAGATTTTGGAAGAACAACATCCAAAATTTGGACTCAATGTGCAGCACACTATGTGAACCTCATTCTACAAGATATTGGGAAGAAAAAGGCAACAATCGCGACTGCTTTAACTAAAGTAAGAGCTATTGTGGTTTATGTTTATAACCACGGAAGGATTCTCAATATGATGAGAAAGTTGACAAAGAATAGAGAGTTGCACAGATCTTGTGTAACTAGATTTGCTACCCAGTTTTACACCTTACAGAGTGTCCATGAGAATCGACATCATCTCCAAGTGTTGTTTGTATCTGAGCAATGGAGAAAAAGTGATTTTGCAAAGAAAGCTCCTGGAAAGAGAGTTGAGAAGATAGTAGCAAAACAATCTTTTTGGGATGGTGTATATTTAGCTTGCCAAATATATGCTCCACTGGAGGATACTGTTCGTTTGGTTGACACAGAAGAAAGGCCGTGCATGGGATACATCTATAATGCGATGAGTCGAGCGCAAGATCAAATAAGCAAAAATCTAAATGATGGGAATAATGATAAAAAAAGATTGGCAGTAGAATTTTTTCTATCAGGTATAAATCGTTTACTTATTAGTTATTAATTTAATTTAAAATAGTATGCAATTATTTAGTTTTAACGTTTTAGTGAACGACTTAATGTACAGCTGGGTGTTTCCTTAATCCCGCAATTTTTCATGGAGATAAGTCAAAGGAATTTGAGGCCAATAAACAAATTATGACGGGACTTTATGTTACTATTGACCGTCTTGTTCCTGATGAAGATTAAAATGATACTTTGAGACAAGAATTGAATCTCTACATTGATTTAAGTGGACAATTTGGATCCCCGTTTGTTAAAAGGAGTATGACAAAAGTTGCACCGAGTAAGTACAAAAATTATAATGTAATCAAAAGTTTTTATTTCTTAATTTTTATTAACCTAGGAACAATTTTTTTGTAAAATGTAGATATATGGTGGCCTTCTTATGGGATAGATACACATATCTTATGAAAATTGGCTATCACGGTTCTTGGTCAAACTTGTAGTGCTTCACCTTGTGAACGAAATTGAAGTACATTTGATAATGTAAGTTTTTTTTACTTATTTTTAACAATTATTTTTATAATTATCATTTATAAGTTATATTAGCTTGATTGGAACTTCTAATATATTAACTAAAATATTTTAATTCTTTTGTTGCAGCTACATTTTAAGAAAAGAAATTGTCTTTTGCAACAAAAACTAAATAAACTTTTATTCATCCAATACAAAACAAGGTTGCAAAAGCGCTTCATGTCTTACAAAACAAATCTTTGGATCCTATTTTGCTATGAGATGTTGAGGAGAATGATGATCGGACAATACTAACGGAAGATGAGCTTCAAGACTTTGTAGATGGTGGTGATGGCCTTCTTTGGTCGGATGTGCAAGAAGCAATGAGAGCGAATGTACACTCAACCAAATATTAGGAGCAAACGAGAGCGTTATAGAGACGATGATGGTGATGATATTAGAGATGTGGGGAACGATCTTGATGAAGAAGTGAATGCCTTGGATGATGTTGACTCGGAAGCCGAACATGTACCTGTACCATGCGATTAAACTATATTTGACACTTTCACACTAAGTAGCTTCTATATTACTATATTAGAATTTTGAATACTATGTTAATGTTTTTCTATGAATTTTTCGGTTTTACGATATTAATCATATATAGACTTTTTAGATTTTATGATATTAATTCTAAATATAATATAAAAATATTAAATTATATGTAATATTAAAAAAAAAAAAAAAAAAAAAAAAAAAAAAAAAAAAACTGCTATAGCAACGTTATACCACCGCGAAAACCACGATTTCAAATAGCGGCCTGTAATTGCTATCGAAATTTTGATCACGATAACTGCATAGGATGGAGCTGATGTGATGCTGAGTTAACAACGTTTTTCAATGGTTTGGTTGTGACCACTTCCCTAAACAATAGTTGTGTAGTCATATAAGTTTGTTAGGATCTCATGACCAATGTTCATTATTCTCAATGATTTCTCAAGATCTTACATCTAATTTAGCTACTGATTTAAATGACTATTTGAACGGTGTGATATTTGATCCAATTAAACTCATACCGAATAACCCATAAGCCGGCGATTCGAACAACCGAATCTTCACGGCGTGACTTGGTGAACAAATATCTTAGTTTTATTCGCACTGAGTACATGCCCAAAGACCGACAGCAAGCAACGGGCCCACGTTTATTCCGACCCCGACAATCACAACGTTGGATATAAATTATGCGTAAATTATGTGTCTCCTATATTAACCTATATGTAGTAAGTAATTGATTAAATCGTCAATATACGATAGGCAATTGAGTTCGCGACATCAGGTTACGACGAGTAAATGTATAAAATTTATAAAAGAATAGGATCTCAACATCACACCAACCCCACTCCGTCTTCACCACTTTCTGTGGACGACTTCTTTCATTTCAGTTCTTATACGTTACCAGTCAATCCAATGTAAAGATCCAAATAAGTATTCAGATGTTTATGTTCCAATCAGTTCTTCAATCCAATCACTCATGATCGAGGTATTTTTATAGAAAAAGATCGGATTTTTATGTTTCTATTAAAAACAATTTGCTTGTTTTTAGCCCACCCTCGTCAGAATTTCCTAAATCCGTGCAGCAGATTGAGTTAAAATGGCGGAGAAAGCTAGCAAAGCGATGAGCTTACTGAAGCTAGCGGAAGAACGAGCTTCGTTGAAGAAAAAACTCGAGGAAGGAAAACAAAAGCAACAGCTAGATTCTGTACCTTATCTTCCAAAAGATTGCGTATCAAATATCCTTATCCGATTACCTCTCGAATCCCTTCAACGATCCAGATTCGTTTGCAAGCCATGGTATAGCATCATCAACAGCCGTACATTCGTTCACGACAATCTTCAACGAGCTGAGAAGGTCTTGATATTCTTGAGCCCCTTCAATCTTGTTTCTCGCTGGTCTGATAAAGATTCAGTTTTCCGCGAAA